GAGCCCGGCGTGGTTGGTGGCGAGGCGTGCGATAGTTGCTGCGGCGGCGGGGATGGCCGGCCAGATCTGCGCGATGGCGGCTGCTCGTCGCGCGGGCCGGGAGCGGCAAGGGCCTGCCGGCGGCGCGCGGCGGCTGATGCGCTCGTCGACGGCATGGTGGCGGTGGTGGTGTTGCATGCCGGCCGGATTTCGCCTTTTTTCTGGCCGGCAGCGTGGGTTTGGGGCCCCGCCCTGGAGCGGCTGCGGTCCCGGCTGTGGGCGGCAGCGGCGTGGTGGCTTCGCCGTGCCGGCTCCACAGCAGCTCGGCGGGTCGACTGGGGCGGCGGCTAGCTTTCCGGCGTCGGCTTGTCTCTAGGCAGCCCGTTTCGACCTTCGGCCCTCTCCTCATCGACTGGTGCTACCTTCGCCGAAGGTTCGGCCCTCCCCCAACTTCGGTCCATCGCTCGTTTCGCGCCCGGCAGCAGGACCGACCTCATCTCGCGCCCGCCAGCAGGACCATGCTCGTCTCGCGCCCGGCATCTAGGATTTACTTGAGATGATTTTGATATTATTTGGTTCAAACAGGTATGAAATTGTGGAGCGATTGTTGTGCCGCTGTCCTATTTTACATCATGTATTGGACCACTATAGTGTTTTATTTTACATATGCTGTAGTTGGAGTTTGGTGATGTAAAAATTCATTTTTTGATAATGTAAATTTTACTCAAGCACAAATTGATAACATCATCCCTATTCAGGGTGGACGGCACGAGCAAGCTTTTCGGCCCGCTCGTGGCCCGATTAGGACCGGACCGTACGGTCCAAGACCGGTGGGAAAAGTGGTTGGTCCGGGCTGGAATTTCCGGCCCGAGAAAATGTCGGTCCGGTCCGGTCTTTAACCGAGCCGCTCGGTCGGACCGAGAAAAGGTAGTCACCGCCGCCGCCGTTCCTCGTCGTCGTGGCCATCGGCAGCCCCCGTGTGAACCATCATGTCCTCGCGCTTCCCCTCTTATCCCTTCCTCACCTCCTAGTGCGCCATCGCCTCTTGGCGCCGCTCGCCATCGTTGCCATGCGTGCACCGCCGCCGATCTGAAGTTCTCGACCATGGAGTCGACCCCAAACTGGCAGCAATTCCTGCCATGGAGACATCACGTACACAGGCCACCAGCTGGCCCGGCACCACCAGGAATAACTGGGCACCATCCGAACGCTCTGAAGGTGATGCCGCCGCTGCTGTTCGAGGAGTCCCTCATGCTCGTCGGGATTTCTCGCGCATGTCAGTTTTGTCAGTTTCGTCAGTGAAATAAGGAATAACGGGAGAGAAACAGCTTGTATGTTCATTCATCTGTCGAGTGTTACAGATATACAGGGAAGAGGAGCACGCAGGTGCGGGCACTAAAAGTATCCCCCTTTTCAGTTATGCAAACCTTGTTCAGGATCACTAAATTTGTGTGCTTGCCTGAACGTCACTTTATTCTTTTGCTAGACTGGAGTTGGAGGGCCCCTTGTTAATTTTAATGGTGACTTTGTCGGGATGAACTTTTATTCTAAGGAAGAGACTCCGTTCCTACCAAGGAATAAAATTCTTGAACTTCTGATGCATTTTAGGAGAACACCCCCGTGCTGGTATGTCTTCTACACTCATCAGATACAGAATCTCTGATTGGCTTATACATGCTTCTTTATCCTTCCCTATTTGAGCTTACTAGTTTGTATGCACTTGGAACATAAATGCTTAGGAAAAATGGAAATAATGGAAAGTTCAATCTAGATTGCACTTGGTATAATAGTGGTCTCTTGCTCTTTATGAGGTAGATAAATTTGCATCATACACTCTTTGGTTAATTTGTTCTATGCTGGATAACAGCAGGCGTAGTCTAACCAAAGCAATATCTGGATAACCGTAGGACATCTCGTTTGCTTGTTGCGAACTTATTGTTACCGAAACAGGCTTACTCCCCGCTATATTGATATAGCAACCACCCGATACAACAATCCGAGCCACGCTGGGGCAAACAGCACAAGCACGCCCAAAAGAAATAACAAGAGAAAATAAGAGAAGAAATGCCAACAACGCCGGATCAACGAAAGCTACGGCACACCGCGATCGCTGCGCCCACCGAAGATAACCACCACGCTCCAAAGCCACCGAGTTGCCGTGTACCAAGCACCATCTTCAAGAAGGAATGCGACGATGACGACGCTGCTGCCCGGACGAATCCTAGGATTTCTCCCAGCACACGGAGGGTAGAGGGGGGGGAGAGGGTCATCCGACGCCCTTCAAGAAGGATGGCGGCGCCCGCAGGCGTCACCGCGTTGGTGCCAGCAAGACCCGACATGGATTTCTCCCGACCTCTCGCGCCCACCACCCAGGACCAACCTTCGGCTCCACCACACCCGCCGCCCACCAACATGCGCCAACAATCACGAGGACACCGCCGTCGTCTCACCACGGCCAACGAAGCGAGGCCGGCTGGATCCAAACGAGACATTCGAAGACAAGGACCGGCAGCACTGCAGCCACGAGGGAGGGAACAACCTCCACCGGCTTAGGCGGTAGCAGACCGGGCATAGCAGCAGAGGCACACCAGACCCCCTGTCCGGCCAGGCCCAGCGTGGGCCCGTGAAGCTCCGCCGCCGTGCTGCAGCAGTCGTGGCACAGCAGCCGCCGTCCCTGTCGCGAGGAGCTCGCCGGAAACCACCGGAGAACAACCCATTGCGGCCACCCAGCAGGCCCGCCCCGACCCAGATCGGGCCGGTAGGGCCTAGATCTGGGCCAGCCGGCCGCCGCAAGCCATGGGCGGTCACCGCCGCCAAGGGGCAACGCCACCGCACCGCCGCCGTCCAGATCCGCGCCGGAACACCGCCGGCCGAAGGGCTCCGCCGCCAGGACCGCTCGCCCGAGCCGGGGTCCAGCGACGGAGGAAGAAGGAGGGCCGCCACCGCCGGACTGAGGGGCGCCGCGCGGGCAACGCCTGGCCGCGCCCGCCGGCGGCAGCGGCGAGGGGGAAGGGGGGCGGGGACTCGCGGGGAGGGGGAGGGTTGGGGAACCGCCCCGGTCGCCTCGCTCGGGGAGGGCGACGCGGGGGGCACCGCACAATCTGTCTATTCTCCGAACTTATTGTTCATGCTGGAGTTTCCAGGGAGCTGACTACACATCAACAAACATAGGAAGTGAAGTACTGAACAATAATATTGCACATCAACAGCCGAGGTTGGACGGAAACAAATTCAGACTTCATACATAACTGTACTAGAAACCATGTTGAATGTCAAACAATTTTGAAATGTGTGTGTCTGCGCCAATATGATGGCTTATTAGCTGTTTTGATGCTTTTGTAGCTTATAATGACATTTGGTAGGTGATCTTCATTTGAGAGCATTTGCCTTTATAACAAATTGGTTATTTGCTCCATGTGTAACTGAACAAGTAGCAGAGTTACCTTAACACTTGCATCCATATCACCAGTCTTATCAAGCCCGTCTTACAGTTGTCGTGTACTCGATTAGGAATCTGGTGTCCATGTTGAACCTATTATACTTGTTTAAATGGGAAGTAGTCAAGGTTCCTTTAGTAATGATATAGTGTTTTCACCATTTTCTCTGTTGTTGAAATTTTTAGTACCATCTGGGTTCAATTCCTATTTTTTCCATCTTGCCACTGTTTGGCACTTCAGTTTTATAGTTTTTTGGTAGTGATGCATACCTATGATCTATGTTTTACTCTTGTGGATTTACTCATGAGTATATCGCATTTTGCTGCAGGGACACAAGTAAGAAAAGAGGTAGTAAAACTGAAAGAGGCGCAAGCAAGGCACGAGTATCTCCTGAATCTCACAAGTCCGATTTAGAAGGCAAGGAAAATAGACTCGCTCCTTAAAAACAGTTAAATTATCCACTGTCAGCCAATTCATCATCAATTCATCATCAATGTTATTTTCGATGATCATCTGTATAATCCTTATCAGCAGTACACATCTTTAGTTTTAAGCATATACTTATTATGATACTATCATATTATAGCATGTGCTATTTAGTTCATACTAAGTATATGGATATGCTATGTAAGTTTGTGAGAATACACACCTGACCTTCATAGTGCTTTCGGTGTTCTAAGTTATGCTTATTCCTTGTTTCGTCTTTTCCATTTTAGGCAGCTCAAGGCAGGAGATGGAAAATAAAAAGCACAAACCTTCCATATGTACTATATGTGACCCAGAACTTAATTCAGGTTGGGTCATTTATAATGTTACATGTTGATCATTGGTCACGCATGGTCACTAATTTCTTCACCCTGTGGCAATAGGACTCGAGGATACATCACTAGAGAGTCTGCCTTCTATTCGTCGGTGGCCGTATGACTGGGGTCTCGGTGAGTCGTTGCTTTCAGTTTTCTTCATCATTATTAACGCATTGGTCATTAATCACTTTACCATGTTGTGCAGTATCCCTGGATGCTAGAAGAGATATGTTCAGGTCACGTGGTTACCCCTTACCAGTTTTGGAGGACAGTGAGTTATTTCTTTTTCTTTTACTGATTACTCTATTTTGTTGCACATTTGACTACTCTTTTCAGCACCCCCTTAACTATTGTGCCATGTTTCTGTAACCAGATGGCAAGCGTCTGCGTTATAGTTTTGAGGAGGAATTTAGTGAAGATATCTGGAACAAAGTCACGAAAAGAGCAGCTTCAAATATGTCTCGAGTTGTTGTAGCACTTGCTTCATTCAGAGGTAATTGTACTCATTGTAAGCTCATTATTTTCGGTATCTTTTTCTTCTGTTTCGTCACTAACTGATGTTCTTAATTATTAACTTTCGTAGGAGAAGCGAGGCTTTTTGCTTGCACAGGTGTATTCATAGACTGCAATCGGTTCACCACAAGAGTTCTGACCTCAGGAAATTTGATTAGAAGTAATGACGATGAAAGCAAGGTTGCTGATAACTTAAAGGTTATTACTCTTCTAATAAATGTTTAAATAGCCCTTTTCTTGTTCATTTGAATACTGCTTTACTCTCAGTGTATATCGTTAATTGCAGATTGAAGTGCACCTTCCAGATAAGCGACATGTCCCAGGGATGTTGCAACATTACGATCTGCATTATAATGTCGCCGTCATCATCATAAATAAATTTCGCTGTACTCGGACAGCAATTATTGACAATAAGGTGAAAACTGGCACTCATTCGGAGGTATTAGCCATAGGGCGTGTCTATGAATCAGGAAAATTAATGGCTGCAAGTGGGGTAGTGATCAACAAAGAAAATGAACTTGACTGTAAAGATCTTAGGATCTCCACTTGTCAAATCACAAAGGTATGATGTGTTAGTTTCACTGTATTTTATTTTTAATTAGGGTGGAAGTATGGTCAGTTTAATCCATCAGCATATCTGTATAGCTTACAAGTACCATGTTTTTTCTACTGGTTACGTTTGTCTTGTGCTAGGCTGGGATTGGAGGCCCTCTTATAGATTCTAATGCGAACTTTATTGGGATGAACTTCTATGGCTTGGAAGAAACTCCCTACACACCACGGGATACAATTCTGAAACTCTTGGAGAATTTTGATGCAGAAGGGTATGTTTTCAATAATTATGTAGGTTTTTGTGTGGCATGCAAGTTTTTTTCATGTGCATGATATTCAGGCTTGAGTGAAGTACAGTTGCCTCCACAAGATGTGTGCTATCATTTTATTCGTCTATAATTGATTTTTGGGTCATCATACCCTGGAATAAAACTGATGTGCATCTGGTAAACAATGTACGTACTATACTAGTATGATTAAGCCATTTGATTCTAGCTTACAGACTGATATTAAATATGCATCATATTACAGTATCATGTGCATAACACTAATTAATTCAGCCTGGAATTCATGTCTATTGCTTGATTTGTTTGTTTGTTTATCTTACTTGTTCATGTTCCTTTTAGTTTGAGCACATGCCAGTTTGTAAGTCTTTGCACTTCTTCATTTCGCCTCTTCTTGTCTTGGCATATGATGATATGAACTGGGCAACCTTACATGATTTTGAGATATTGTTGTATATGTTAAAACTAAAAACAGTTTCTTTTGGTTTATGTGTAGGACTGCTGACAATATTACAACAGTTCCTAGCCCAAACAGGTATTTTTGATTAGTTATGCATTCAGTAGGACCTTGATTCTGATCTGCATGATTCATGAACATATTTATGATTTCGTCTTAACAGATGGCATGTGCCTAAGCCATATTGGTGCTATCCTTCGTGGCATGAACGAAAGGAGGGAACAGATTTACTGGAATTTCTTGATCAAGAATTCCGCTATGACTAACGTGAATTGTTATCGCCATGCCTGTATTGTCAACATGTTGACCGAGACTGCTTGTGAAGCTGATCCTGTGTAGTAAGGATCAGTGGTACTTGCAAACACTTTTTTCATGTATATTTGCCCGGTAAATTTAAATTAACAAAGACATCAATCGGCCATTATTACAACTGGCAACAGACCTAAGGCATCTCTAACCGACCCCCCATAATTTAGAGGAGGATACGGTAGAGTATCTTTAGTGGAGGATAATTTTGCTCCTCTAAGGTGACCGGACCGAACCGATCCCCTATATGTAGAAGAGAAGTTTTTTCTCAATTCTTTTAGCCAGCCACACACATTTCAACAATTGCATACTATTTCATCAGTTATTTGAATGATTCAAATCCAACATGCTTAACAAAAACCATGAACACACATATAGTTGCACGGGTCGAGCAATTCAAATTAAAACATGCAAATAGTTCATCCAAAAGACTCCATTAATAACTTCAACTAATTGCATAGACCAGTAGGTGTGTTTTTAAACATTTTGTAATGAAAATTGACTATAAATGCATAGAAAGAACCTAAAAGTGCCATAGGGGTGGTACACAAACGACATTTCGAAATCCAATGCACCATGCATCATCTTGACTAAAAACGACAGAGTATGCTTGGATTTATATTGCTGCAAGATGTTCACGACGCGTTGAGGACGAGGTCTGTCGTGCAGGAGTATGTAGGATGGCAAGATATGACGTGATAACTGACGACATGACTTTGTTTTTGAAATTAAACACCCCCATGACACCATCGCACTTCACATATGACCATGTACAGGGCTGAGGTTACATGCACAATTACAAATATATTGTGCATCACGATCGTCTAACATGGTACAACCTATAACACACTTACGTGCTATCCTTCCTTCCACTTGACTTACCCTCAAAAAATCATTCCCTCCAACTAGCCTTTCCTCGAAAAAATATCTTCCCTCCAAAGTAGCATTCCCTACAGCTAGCGGAGCCTTTCCCTCAAAAAATTTCCTTCCCTCCAGAACGTTTGTAAGGCCCGCTTGATTAACCCCAGCCCCTCCGTAAATACAGCCTATCCTTATAAGTGTGACCACAAGATCCGTCTAGATCTGCACATCTAGTTCCTTGTTGAGTCGGAGATGCAATCTAAGATTGTGTTACTTGTACTAGTACAACTTTTAGTGTTCTTATCCGGATTAAGACTGCGGGTCATTCAATCTATAGGGTTCTAGTATGGTTAGGATTTTCTAGTATGGGTATGATGTTCTAATTAAATGAAAGGTCATAAGATCTAATCTATCAGCTAATTAATCCTTTTTACTTTATTGACGAGCTTCTTAGTTGTCCAAACTTTTTTCATGGAAATTGTTTCTCCAGACTTTGATCCTATGTTGTTCTGGTTCAGTTATTATGCCCTTTCATATCGGTAATTGCCTTTGGCTCCTAGGTGCATATGCACCCATTGTCGAAATACACATTTCGAAAAGTTGAAAAATTCTGAACAAAAATCCCACGTGTATATCCGGATATTTTATGTGCGTGCACAAGGTTTCAGTGAAAAACGACGTTTTTTGTGGCTTGTGTAAAAAACACAATTTCTGATGCTTCATTCTAACTAGTCATGAGGCATTTCTTTATCTTTTTTACACAAGCCACAAAAAACGTTGTTTTTCACCGAAACCTTGTGAACGCACATAAAATGTCCGGATATACACGTGGGATTTTTGTTCCTAATTTTTTAACCTTTTGAAATGTGTATTTTGACAATGGGTGCATATGCACCTAGGAGCCAAAACGCCGCTCTCCGTTCATATTGATTTTCCTCTAGAGTAAATTGTGCTGACAATGTACAAATTAGTAGTTTAATTACTTCATATAATAGCAAGTACGTACATGTTTAACTATCCGCATCGTTGTATAGGAGCCGTGAAAAGCTCACCAACGGGATTGGAGATTATACAAGCAATCCGCAACAAGGATAACGGGTCTCGTACCCAAGAAGTGATGCACTGTGACGACGATGAAAATGAACCAATAGTTTGAAGTTGTCCGGTTTACCGAAAAAGGGTTTCCCCCCGCTTTACTGAAGTTGTCCGGTTTCAGTAGTTGGGGATGCAAATTGTCTGGTTTTGAAGTTGAAGGATCAATCGAAACTACGCCAATAGTTGAGGGACGAAAAATATATTTTTCTCTATATAGAAATGAAGGGAGCATTTATTAACCCGCGGGTATTTTTCCTTCTTCTTTCGTTCTTATCCGGCTTGTTATTTTGCACATCAATGAGAGGTTCGATACACCGAGCACCCGTGACTCCGTGAGCTTGCATTGCCGGCCTGGCCGCCGATCGTCACCTCCACCTAGTTGGCCCGTTGGCGCGTGCAGCCAAGCCAAGCCAAGCCAACATTCGTCGTCGTCGTCTCCGCTTCCAAGCCTCTAAAGATCGGCTCACCCAACGCCAAACCTTGCTGCCCGGCCCGTGACCGAATAGCCTGCCGCGAAATGTGGATATGCAACTGTCCGAGCCGATACTGACATGTGTGCACGCAGTGTATATATATATATATCTACTCTCGTCACTTCTTGGTGGCCTTCGATCCGTGGCTCTAGACTTGCCTGTCCCAAGGCCAGCCGGCAAGTACTGCCGTACTAGTAGTAGGACAGTAGGAGTATTGACCAAGATTGATGTAGTAGTAGCGTGCTATTCAACTCAAGCATATGCCTCTGGTATACCGGCCGAACTCGATCGATCGGCAGGCACTTTGAATACAACGCGTTGGATCAGTAGAGTCGGTCAAAACACGTATTTTCTGATCAATATATAGCTCTTCTTACTCTTCACTATATACTGTATTAGGTGGCTTTAAGTGCTAAGGTGGTCCGCTTCGTCTCCGGGTGGCCTTATATGCGGGTTGAATTATATATACTAGCTCTCCCTGCTCTTCCCTATATGTTGTATTATGTTGCTTTAAGTGCTTAACCACTACCATAATGAAGGATATATACGTTTCTTCTTTGAAAAGAAGGATTACTTCGACCTCTGCATCAAGCGATGCACACAATCACTTGTTAAAACGTATCAAGTATCAAAGATCCAAGACCGCGAACGCCTTCACTGAGGAACGTGAACGTGAACTCCTTCCCACTCCGCCGCCCTCCGCGCGGGCGACCGAGGGGTCCCAACCCTCCGCCGCCGGACCCCTCCTCCTTCCCGCTCTCCCCTCCGTCGCCACCGGTGGTCGGCGCCGGGCTAAGCCCGCGCGTGCGATATGATGGCGACGGCGGAGGAATCATCCTCTCTCTGCGGGCTAGGGATGCGCGGGATCCCCGATCTCGATGATGAGGCCCCGATCTATGGCAGCGGCGCTGATCTGGCCCACGGCGGTCTCCATGAGCGCGGCGGCCGGCCGGTTCCTAGGGGCGGCCGTGGCGGCAGCCTGCTGGCTGATCTGGGGCGGAGGCTGCAGGATCCGAGGCGGCGGCCCCTTGGCTGGCCTCCTCGTCCGGGCGTGACGGGGTAGGAGGGCTGCCGGGGATTGGATCAGGCGGCTGGTGATCCTCTGGTGGTTTTCACGGCGTCAGATTTGGTGGTTCCCCTCCCTCCTGCTACCTCTATCGTCGTCCCGGTGGTTCGCGGATGCAGACTCCGGTGATGGTGAGCCCTGGTGGTGTACCTTGGGTCCGGGGGAAACCTTGGCCGGTCTGGCCGGCCCAGCGGTGGCATCATCCATGGGCGTCACTTTCCTTCATGAAGGCACAGTTGAGGGCCTAATCTACCCACCCCGATCTCATGCCGGGTGAAAACCTACAATCCTCTTCGAATTTGGCGGCAGCGGCGCTTCACGTCGTGACCTTCCTAAAGGTGTCGTCAGGGGTTAGGAGTGCAGAGGAACTGCAGGTGGAGGGGATGGGACCAGTGGCAACATGTGGTGTTCGCGAAGGAGGTGCGGCGTTGCATCTGACACGTAGACAACGGTGGTTCCCAGTGGCATGGAGCAGCGGGGTCTCGCTGCTGGGCATGTGTTGATGGACGAGTGCAGGATGGCGGCGTTGTCTAGCGTCGTGATGGCGTCGACGACAGCTAGACCAGACAAGGTTGATGCGTCAGTACATCTCTGAAGATGGATTGATGGTAGTTGGCGGCGGCGACCTCTGAGTGTGCGCCGGACCGGTGGGTGCCCCTTACCCGGCAAGTAGCTTGGTTGGGGCCTCAGGTCTTAGATGTTAGGTTTGTCTGTGAGGTCTGTTTGGTATTAGGCCCAGACTATCAGCATCTCTTCATCAACTGAATAGAAGTAGCGACAGATGTTGCCTAGATGGTTGCCTAGATGGTGGTTTCAGTCTTGCTGATGTATCACTTTGTAAGGTCTTTTATGAATAATTAATAAAGTGGTTGCACGCATCACCCAGATGCAGAGGCCGGGTGTCTTCCTCCTTTTCCAAAAAAAATAAAAAATTCAAAGATCCAAGAGCCTCTCATATAACCAAACAAGGACAATAATCAAAATGAAAACCGCAACCGGCAAAAAGAGGGATGTATACACGTGTACTCGCGACGGTGGTATTTACACCGCACACAATATCCAGGTTGGCTGCACATTTGTGGTCTGAACTGACACACGGGTGGCATCTCTATACGGAGTATATATATGCATGCTGTCGCCTGTGCGGTGTGGATTCCATTGCTAGCTAGCATGCAGCACTACTATAGCTAGCTGCATGTTGTTCCTGCCGAGCTTGGAGGCATCTGCCTGCGTGCATTATCTTACCATGCATGTCATGGTATTCGATTGGCTTAGCACTACGAATTTCTGTCTGCACTTGAATCGGTTTGTCTCGTACGTACTGGTTAGGTCCCTCTTGTCTCCATTTGTATGCCAGGGGTTTATTTAACTTTTTGTTAGCTGCCCCTGCTAATATGGTCAGATGAAACACTCCTCAAGGAAATTGAAAGTATAGAGTGAAATAAACATAGGCATACATCATTCATTTGCGCAAAGCTTTGCATCTCGTAAAAGACATGGGTACATAATCTATAATTCAGAGCCAACATGCATTTATGCACTTCATAGCCAACATATGGAATATTTACAAAACCCTAAAAATGATTCTAGAGAAAAGAGTATTAGTCAAGAAACATCCCCAGCAATTGGATCATTTATGTTGAGTTAGTTGACAATAAGGCTTCATCTTCTCTTCAAATAATTTTATGAATTCAACTGAACACCCGTAAAAGAAAATATTTAATATTGATACAGTTAAGATTTCATACATCTGTACGTATGTAAATCAATAAGATTTATTGATACATACAACCTATGAACTAGAAAGCGCTCCATATAAAGGAGGTGCCGGAGAGACTCTAGTAGGCAGGTCCACCGACTTGCACTTTCCTCTTCACTTCAAATTTTCTAATGCAATGCAACTAAAATAAACACAGCTGCAAACAAACTATTTAGTTTAAATCTTACTGGGTTATGTTTGACATAAGTATGTTCGGAGGCGAGGTTGTCAGAATTGTGATTTTAAATCGGATTGGAGCTCCGATGGTAGGATCACAAATCGTAGAATCTTAATATCAGGATCGTAGAAACGTAGATTTTATGAATTAAAATCGTAGAATCAGAGAGGATAGTTTGGATCATAAAGTTATAGAATCGTACAACAGAATCGCGATTCTGACAACCTTGTTCAGAAGTCAACACATAGGTATATAGTCTTGATAGAAGAAAGAGAGACAAAGATTCAGATATCGGATAACGTAATTAACCTTGATTTTCGACATCAAAGTTCTAACTACTTCGACATCAGAGTCCTAACTACTTCGACTAGCATGAGTTAACTTTTTTTTGTTATTCCATCACAAACAAGTCAAAGCTTGAAACGCCTTTGATACAAGTAAAGGTTACCAGTTTCATCGTTGGGCTAAAGCAAAAAACCTAACTTTCTGCCTCCATTTGAGCTCGAGCTTTATCAATCTGCTCTAGCCGCCGCCTCCTTCTCCTCCATAAAAAGCTAGAGTTTTTGCCTCCCACCGATGCCGCCGCAGATCTGCCTCCTCTCTGATGGCCCTAGGGCCATAGGGGCATGGCCCAGCGGGAGGGCTCCATTTTTAGTCGTTTCTCCGACACAAACCCTAGAAAAACTGAAAGAAATGACTAAAAATAGAGCCCTCCCGCCGGCCCATGCCGAGAAATTTGAGGAGGTTGGAAAAGAGCAATCACCTCTAATGTTTCTTACAGGCAGTTTCGTATTCCTAGACGCTTCCGGAGCTGTCCACAAAAATGTAAACCGCCTACTCTAGATATATTACAAGTGACTTTGACCAGTTTGGTCACAAACGCCTTCGATGGCCGCTTCTAATTAATGCTCATTTTTTTACTAGTGAAATATATTGCTACCACAGAGCCCTTGATGCCCTTAGTGCCGCTGGGTGAGCTCCCCCACTCCCACCGCACTGCGTGCAACCACGCAAACAGGCACTGTGCATATGCACGGCCGAGAAACCCGTGCTACTCCATGCCATGTGAGAAAGGATAGACCCACTGATGCCATTGCTGACCAGGCTTTGCCCAGAGGAGCTCTCTGGCAGGGAGGAGGGGAGGGGCAGGTGGTCACCAAAATAGGTATTTGCAATTGTCCATGCATGCTCCAATTCTCTCTTCTTTTTGGCATGATGCATGACACTTTATATTACAAAAAAATTGTACATGCAATGAGGTTTTGTTTTGCGAGGATACATGAAATGAGGTCAGCAAAATCACATCCATAAGTTAGATCTTGTAAGGTTGTGTAATACAGAAGAGTACCAAACCTACGGGCAAAACCTACAAGATCAAATTTACGGACGTAATCCTCGGC